AGTCAAAGTAGTTGTTCTGATATGAACAAATATTTGTGGATTAAGTTATAATAGTTGGGGTTATAGTTGTTAAGCTCCATATAGAATTTATATTTAATTTCGCTTATTTGGAAGTATGGTATACAGAACAAGCTACCCTCAAACATGGTACAAATTTAAAGCATAAATAGTGTCTAACATTGTGGATGAGTTAATGATGTATCCAAGACATATAAAGAAGAGACTGGAGCTTGAGGCATGCACTCTTGACCTTTGAAGAGCGTGTTAGAGGCTTCCAGTCCCACTTGTTCACAACTATTGAGGTCTGGACCTCTGTGGGAGATAGTCTTGAGTTTGGTGGGCAGAAAGGTCCACAGAAGAAACAACTGTTTTTCATGCCTTTGTGTTTTTTGAAATCCGTTATCGAGTATGTTATTTCTGTTGTATATTTACCTTGTATTTGAGAATCATTTTGACATAAAGTCAGAAGACTATTATTTTCCTGCTTTATTAAGACTCTTCTATGTTTGGTCTGTATTTTCTTCCTAGAAGCAGAGATTGAGATGAGATTTCATAAAGACTGTGTATTAAGAAGGGCCCTCAGGAGAAGGGACATGAAGGCAGCAGGAAAGGGCAGGGGAAGAGCTAAGCAAGAATATTGTTCCTCCTAGAAACCAGCTTCAGCCTGGAGCCACAGCGGGAGAAGGAGCTGTGTAGCACAGATTGCCGACAGCAACTATGTTCCCTTGATGCAAGGGACTGGCTTATTGGAACCTCTGCCAGTCAGTCTTTGCTGAGAGCAGTGGGGTGCTCACTTCCCAGTAGAGGCAGCTGCATCTCTGGGAGCCATTAGCACCCATCAGTGCCAGCAGCTGCGGGATAGCTGCCCTGGTCCAGTAGACGGAGCCTGAGCAAGACCCTAACAGTATCCTCTCTAGCTTCCTACCAGTAGATGAAACTGTGAGATTGCTTACTTGGCTACCTCTCTGCCTCGGTTGCTTGGAAGTTCTAAACTCAGTTTCGTGTTTAATTGCTTTAGCATGCTTCAACCGGGATGATTTAATAGCGTTTTTTCTGTCTTCTTTTTCTTTATAACTTTAGTCTTTCATCTTTATCAGTTGTTTTTTTACTTATTATACCTGCAATTTTATTATAAGTTGCCTCAAATTCTTTTCAAAGCCCTTGAGTCCAAAATAAAAATAAATATAAACCAAAAGCCAGTTTTATAATTAGAGCAGTACCAGAGTCATCCTCCTTAAAAATTAGGTAAAATAAGTGTTGAATAGAGATAAGAGTATTTGCTATTACAATTTTAACTCAGTACTAGGTATGGTTTCGTAAACTGCTCAAGAATAAAATAAACAGTAAGTATTCTAAATCCAAGGAAGGAAAAAACAAAATTGCATTTTTCCAGATGATACTTTTATGTACATATAAAGTGCAATGAAATTAATACAAAAGTTACTGGAGATTATGTTAATAATGTGACAGTGTTCTGCAGAATTATAGGCTTGGCTACAAATCCTCAAAAGCCAATTAAGTTAGTATTTGCTAAGATCATATAGCTGACAATATAGTGATGAAAGATTTGAGAACACATTGTCCATGTCCAAAACTGAACTTCTGTCTAACTACTCTAGGCCTGCTCTCCCCCTACCTCATATTCACTGTGCTGACTAATGACATCATCTGCCCAGATCATCCAAGCCTAAACCTTGGAGGTCATCTTCAGTATCACAGACATTTACACCTGCTGACCCTCACAGCTAGTCAGTAGTTAACCAGCTTCTGACATTACCTACATTTCTCCCAAACCCATCCCAATTTTATACCCAATTCTTCTGACTTAATTTCAGTCTATCATTTTTGTCAGAATTACCAGATGAATTCTTCAGTCTTATATATAGATAGATACAGATATAGATATGGATATAGATATACACGTGCTCCATAAGTTAAATAAAATTAAGTATAGTATTTTTGGTCTTTTGGGTTTTGTTTGGTAACTTTTTATCAAAGAAAAATTAGTAAGTATATTCAATAAATTAGACTAAGGTTTCTTGGACTCAGAACTGTTGACATTTGGGGCCAGTTAATTCTTTTTTTTTTTTTTTTTTTTTTTTTTTTTTTTTTTTTTTTTTTTTTTTTTGGAGACAGAGTCTTGCTCTGTCGACAGGCAGCAGGCTGGAGTGCAGTGGTGCAATCTCGGCTCACTGCAATCTCCACCTCTGGGTTCAAGCAATTCTCCTGCCTCAGCCTCCTGAGTAGCCGGGACTACAGGTGTGGGCCACCACAGCCAGCTAATATTTGTGTTTTTTAGTAGAGGCGGGGTTTCACCATGTTGGCCAGGATGGTTTCGATTTCTTGACCTCGTGATCCACCCACCTTGGCCTCCCAAAGTGCTGGGATTATAGGTGTGAGCCACCTTACCTGGCCTAGGGCCAGTTAATTCTTTGTTGCCAGAGTCAAAGTATCTTTATTGCTTTGTGAGATACTTAACAGCATCCCTGGCCTCTTCCTAGTAGATTCTAGTAGCACTGTCTCCGTTGAGACAACTAAAAATGTGTCCCAGCATTGCCAAATGTCCCCTACAGGCTAAACTCACCCCATGGAAAGGCACTGGATTAGACTAAGAACCATTGGGTAGCACTAGTCATGCTTTCTGTGCACCAACTGCCTTCTATGTGTCATCTTGTTTAATCCTCACAAGAACTCTATGGATAGATGCCATTCTTATCCTCATTTTCATATGAGCAAACCAAGACCTTAGTTAAATAATGTGTAATGTGTAACCATGCACCCACACCAGGACTTGCACCCAGGTGGTTTGACTCCATAACCTGGTTCCCTCAGGTTGGATCCATCTCCCCACATACTGGCTGTGTGACCTTGGGCAAGTTAGGGAGCTCACTTCACCTCTGTCTCCCTCAGTGTCCTGTAAGATCCTGAGAATAGTGCCTGCCTGGTAGAATTGTTAGGTTTAAACCAGTATGCAAAAGATTTAGACCAGGACTGGCATGTGTTAGGAAGCACTTGCCATGACATGTCAGTGAGAATGAGAGGTAAAAAGGACACCTCACCTCCCAGTCTAGTTGGAGATGCAATTATGCAAACCCATAATTTCATAAATAGAGCATTTTTACACAGTACACATTGTTTAACTGAAATCTTGGTTTGCTCGTGAGTTGTGAGGATTAAATGAGAGCATTTATTAAATTCATAATTTGTTAAATGGAGCATTTTCTGAGAGCACAGATGCAGGCTTGAACTTCTTGGCTGTCAGGATTGAGTATAAAAGAGAGTTCCCATGTGAATCCTGAAGAGTGAGCAGGAGCTTTGGTATCGAGAGAGTGAGGCTGGGAAGAGTGCAGGTGGAGAAATGAATGCAGCAGGATAGGAATTCCTGTAGGAATAGAGAGACTCCACATCATTTATTGCATGATTGCCACTTCCAAATAATACAATGGGCCATTATTTCATATAAAATCACTGATTTTCTGAGAGTTTGAAACATTCCTGTTTCTACTTAGGAATGAAATATTCCAGAGCTAAATAAAAATATTTTTTGAAGTCTATATAGAATGATATAGCAGATATAAAGAGAACTTTTACCATAGGACGATAGGCTACATAGACTACATAAACCCAGCCACATTAAGCAAAGTGAGAGAACTGTTAATGGGGCCCAAGCAGTTGTGTCTCATTAATTTGCATGAGAACATTCTTTGTGTCAGAATTCTTTTTAATATGATACTTTTGTATAAAATAACATTTTGACCACTCAGAAAGAATACATACTTTAAACAATCATGTAAACTTCAGCAAAATGATTCCCTTCCTAATTCCCATGTATACCTTTTCATTTTAGCTATTCCATTATAGCTAATGACATTGTTTCAGAAGAGAATGTCTACCCAGTAAAATATGTATAAAATCTGTTAGTATACTCTATATGTGCAAATGAAAGTTATTTACTTACATAAAAGATACTCTTCCAACTTCCTGAATTATTAATGTACAAAGAAATAGTCTTTCTTCCCCTTTACCATTGAATCATTGACAATGACTAAGCTTCAATTAACAAATAGTTAGAAACAATAGTGTACAGTATTTCCTTTGCACCTATAGAAAAATTCAAGTTTTACTTTCTTGCTAAAATATTTGGATCACGTATCATAATTTATATTTTAAAAGCATTCTTCTTTAAAATATATTTTGATGTTCATTAATTGAAACAGCTCATTTATAAGAAAATAACAATGTTTTTATTAACATGAATGAAATTTGAGAGAAAAAGTGACAACTTAAAGATAACTTTCATCATCCAAATACTAATAAATGAGAGAGGAAGTGGGGTGGTAGTAAATCCATACTGTTACAGGATAAATGAACTTAATTTGTGGAGAATCCTCTTGTGAGAAGCAGAAGAAGGGAGTTCTGAAACATTTTAAAACATACTTTTGTTGTTATCACTTAGCTTGCACTTAATGCTTTAAGAGCCCTAGAGATTTTAGTTTGGTTTTGGCTTTGCTTTACTGTGGTATCATTTACCAATTTCTTTTATTCAGTTCTGCCTAATCTTAGTTTGCTACAATATTGTCAGCTCTTACAAATATATGTAGCTAGTTTTCTAAAATGAAAAAGAAGTGGGCTAGTCACAGGAGGTAACGACTTGGGATGGATGGTTTTAGCAGCATCTGAATGGAGTAGCCGGCTCTTGTATTCCTAATGTATTTTCACACACTGTAGCTTTAAAACAGAAGCAGGCTGCTCTGTTGTTGCCAACCAGGTAACAAAGTGGATAATATTCTTGGTTAACACCAGGGCAAGGTACTTTTTTTACTTGGCAGTTTAGTTCGTTTCTAAAATCCAGTTCGAAAGCTGTGTCAGCAGATTATCTTAAAAAAGAAAAAAGCTGTCAGTTGCCTTCTGAATGTAATTAGAACCTCTTTCAATTATAAATCCTTAAATAAAACTTGGAAATGATAATGGAAAAAATAAAGAACTCTTCAGACAGAAAATTGTATATGATCGTTTAATTGGCATTTTAAACTACCTTGTAGCTGTTAAAGTATTTTACATTCTACTTTCTTTGTAGGGAAAGTTAAGCATGATTCTAATTTTTTAAAATCTGAAAGTCCCATTTGGCACCCAAAAGTTCCATTATGCATTACGCAGATATTTACACATAATCCTTCAGGTTGTGTGTGGAATTGTTCTCTGGCTGTGTGGTAGAGATAGGCTGCTGCGTGGGTGGGTTGAGCCAAGCTTCTGGATTCCTTTTTATACAGGAGGTGCAGAAAATCATGCCAGAGATAAACAACAGCATTGCTGAAATGAATCCAATATAGATAGCTCCTCCAGGTTCGTGTTTGTTGCTTTCTGGAACTGTCAGATCCAGAAAGTTTGCTATGATCTCCTTTGTGTACCACACTGTCGGGATTAAACTGGAGATTCCTGCAGACATGAAACAGACTCCTCCAGCAAAGGAAGCATGGCTCTTGGTTTCTCTGTCCCCTCCTAAGCGAGTACATTTCAGTCCTACTGTGGAAGTGCAGATCCCCAAAGCAGACAGAAAACACGCCAGGACCATGGTGGCTCTCGCAGCCTGCACGTGAATGGGGAGGGACAGAATGGAGTGTTTCAGGGCACAGCTGAACATCCCGGTGCTGTACCACGTACAATCCATCCAGAGCCCGTGCAGCTGCACAATGGCTGTTACGATGTTGGAGCCCACATCTACATTCACCTTCCAGTTAGGCAACAGAGTGGCGGTGAGCACTCCAGAGACCCCGGATAAGGCCAGGATGAAAGCAAGGAGCTGGAGTCCTGCCGAGGCCATGATGTTACTGTTAACTCTGTCCTCTTAGAAAATCCTGATGCTTAACTATGATGGGTATCAGAACTCTATCTATTCTGTGCAGTAGAGAACCAAATAACAAACCCTAGGGAAAGAAGACAAAATCAGGACTGAGGGAAAGAAAGTGTGAGTAAACAAAAGGCTTCGCTAGAGTAGGAGCCAGGAACACATCTGGGTACTCCCCCTTCTCCAGCCCCCAAGCAGCTGAGGATGCTGTAGTCCGGGAGGAGAAAAGCTCCCACCAGGCCTTGAAGTGGTACACATGGGTGGTGTTGATACAGGCCATAAAGAAAGCAGTTGTCCACTTAATTCTTTTTAAAACTCAACATGTACTGAGACTGTAAAGTGGACATGTACCTTATTAGGAGATTCAGACATTTCAAATTCCAGCTACAGTGTCTGATAAAGAATTTTAATAGCATTATAGGTTTTTAAATTTTTATTCTTAATGAAAATAGTAGGTAAAAGGAAGAAAATTAAGGTCACCTTTTAAAGATGGTTTACAAATATATTTTAGAAAAGAAGTACTTAAGAAGTGGCTTTTATAAGCAGGTCTTTGATGTACCCACAGTGCTGGGCACATAGGCCGAGTGAACCATTTGAGGGGAAGAAAAGCAGTGGAAAGACAGCTAAGTCACTAGTGTGCCTATCCCTAGGTTCTAGTTAATACCTGCTTGCAAAATCCTGACTGAGGTTAGTACTTGTTTTACTTCTGGTACCTGGTATTCAGCCACTGTTTTTTTTGCATATGGGAATGTGAAGTCCTTTCTAGCTGGGACCAGAATCATTTCCTTACCCAAATGAAGCCGGCTATTCTGAACAATTCAGAAGTAGTAATGGCAGATCTCAAAAATGCATGCCGGCAATAATCACATCATTAGTTGTATGTGAAAGGATACCAGAAATAATTTAACACTTTATTTTCTTTATTTTTAAGAGAAAGGAAAAGACTGCATCTACTTTGTGGCTTGGCTGTGTTTTAAGAAAAAAAAGGCTTCTGATTCCATCTTTCTATACCTGTTCCCCCATCTAGCCCATCTGGCACTGCTTACTGCTTTCTTTAAGAAAACTATAATGGTTTCTGAAACACTGCAGTACTGACTTTCTTTGTTGTTCTGAATTAATTTTGAATGATATGCTGAAGTGGCTCTACCGTGATTCATACGTATTTCACAAAAGGCGATACAGGCTCTTCACTCAAAAACACTTGGGCCAGTTGTTAGCTTTATATCTCTGTGCCTCAGTATCTTCTTCTGAAAAATGGGGAGGATTGCAATACTTCTTTCGTAGAGTTAAATAAGTTAATATGTTTTAAGGGCTTGGAACAATATTTAAGCCACAGAAAGTCCTTTGTAATTTAAAATTGGCATCATCATTAGTATTTTTATTTCTTGTGTATTGTGACAACTGATGTTTAAAATTTAGATCTTTTCTGCCGGGCGCGGTGGCTCAAGCCTGTAATCCCAGCACTTTGGGAGGCCGAGGCGGGTGGATCACGAGGTCAAGAGATCGAGACCAGCCTGGTCAACATGGTGAAACCCCGTCTCTACTAAAAATACAAAAAATTAGCTGGGCATGGTGGCGTGTGCCTGTAATCCCAGCTACTCAGGAGGCTGAGGCAGGAGAATTGCCTGAACCCAGGAGGCGGAGGTTGCGGTGAGCCGAGATCGTGCCATTGCACTCCAGCCTGGGTTAACAAGAGCGAAACTCCGTCTCAAAAAAAAAAAAAAAAAAAAAAAAAAAATTTAGATCTTTTCCTTTTTTCTCTTCCTTCTCCGGGCCGATTTATTTTCATAGAATCTTGGAGCTGAAAGAAACCTCAGATAATCTCAAGCATCCTCGTTTTTTTCAGAAAGGATGTTCAGATAGGCAATCACTCCATGCCAGCTGGCTGCCAGTCTTCAGCAGCTAACCTGCAGTGTCCAGATCTCTCTCCACCCCTCCTACCTCACTGGATCATCCCTCCTCTTTCCCTTCTTTACCACAACACTTCTGCTGAAACTCTCCACTGAATTTCCCACTGTTTCCCATGGGAACCAGGGAAAGCACTACATCTGGAGGCAAAAAGCACCATTAACTGTCTACTTCATCCACTTCCCTCCCCAACAGGGAAAAAAAGGACTGTAGAGGATGTTAATAGGGCAACTGGCTCAGCTTCAGATGACTTAGCAAGGAGACTGATGCCTGGTTTTGGTTCAATATTTGAAATACTACTAATCCATTGCCTATATTTAAAGTACAAACTTTGCATAGCTACAAACATTGATTCTCTACGACTATCATTGATCCTAGGCTATCTGGATTGTGCTCTTCTGTTTTTGTTCATAATCTTAAAATGTAACTCTTACCATTTTAGAAAAGGTTTTCCCTAGGATTTTAAGTCCTTAAGAGTCTGACTTATGTGTAAACATCAGTGTGATTAGCATTTGCCTGCTATCATACAGTTTCTTTTCTGTTTTTCCAGACTAAGACCAAAACAGAACAAAAGCTAAAGTTTCTAGAAAAAGGTCAAGCACATGTTTACAGTTTTGTAATAGCTGTTTTCAAGTTTAGGTTTTAGCATTTCAGACTTCAGCCAGCTTGCTAAATTACTGCCTCCGGACCATTTTCAGCTTAGGGATTCTTAAAGTGTGGAGTTGCTCTAACGTTTTCTACCAGCATCTGCTTGCTTACCTTTCTCTCTCCCTTTCATTCTTTCTACTTTGACTGAATAACCTTTGTATGATATCAGTCTATGTTCAGCTTACCAATTATAATCCTTTTCTTCCCATTAATCAATACATTTTATAGCTTTCAGTATATTTCAGACATGAAGGCAGTTTGTTCATCACAATTAACCAGTACTGGCAGTGATCAATTACAGACAGCCAAAATCAGTGTAAACAATACACATTGCGTTTAGTATAGTGTTTGCTTACTATTGAATATTGGATTCAAATGCTTTTTTTCTGCATAGAGAATTATAGAAAGAATTTGTTCTCCATATGAAGGTTACCTTCTGCTCATACAAATATACTGGCATTTTAGCTATATTGCAGTTACCCTCCAGCCACAAGCATAATACCGTTTGTGGCCTGTTCTCTCAAAATTTCTATCTCATAGAGAATAAAGGCATGCTGTTTCAGTGGCTGTGGTGGTGGTAGAGAAATACTTGTGAAAGCAAGCAAAAGCAGAGGGGTCGCATGTAAAAACTTGGTCTGCAGCAAAAGCTCTCTCATGGTCTTAAAACACAGTGCACACAGAACAGAACCTAAGCACGTTCAATTTCTGAACAATTCACCAACGGAAAGTCTGCCGTAGATTTCATTAAAATGTAACATTGGCTTTCCAGACAAGATTTTTTATATCAAAAATAATATTTAAGAGCAGATTTACAACTTATAATTAAAACTAAATAATATCAAAAGATCTATTCTTAGATCTCTAAACATTACAGACATGTTTTATTTCCCCTACCTTTTGTCAGTAGCTTTCACTGTCTTAACTCCTTCAGTCACTTCTCTTCAAATTAACCTCAATTAGTTATGGTGAAGAAGACCCATATATGTGAGGTTTATTTCAGAAATTCTGGGTATTTTTATAAAGCTCCAACAAGTTAACTTGAAAATAGCAAATAAAGGACAATGTAGAAATCTGAGAGATAAAAACTGCTGATGGTGCTAGAAGATAAATACCAGGTTCTCCATCTCATTTTTTGAGATGTGGGAGAATTAAGAAAGGAGAGGCGGGGAAGGGAGGGAGTTGTTGTTACAACAGGATTTGTTGAAACCTGAAAGCTAAAAATGCTTTTGTTGTCCCTGTGTACAGAGGAGGAATTATTTGGGTGCTCACAAAAAGGCTTTCTTTTCTTTTAATACTATGTTTTAGTCACATAGTTATAATTTATTTTTGAAATTTTGTCTGTGTTGAAAGATATAATTTATTATTTTATGTCCTCAGTTAAAAATGTTGTCTGAAATATTTTTAACTACATTGTGCTTTGCAAATGAGAGTTGAGACTCCCTTTTTTTCCTGGTATTCTTGACTTGTCTGAAACCCGAATTCATACAATTGTTAACTTTTAAAAGAATGCTTTTTAAAATATGTTGTATATTTTTTTCAATAAAAGAAAACCCAGCAACAACTTTTGACTAGAATCTGATCGCTAAACCTACAAGTATTTTTGCGTGTGTGGTGCCCTGAGTTTTCTTGTTATTCCTTCCACTTAGAAAGATTTGTGGAAGTTGACTATGTAGATTTCAGGAAATGTTATGAAGAAATCACCCAAAATAATGTGATGAGACCTGTCAGATAAGACTGGTCAGATACTGAGGTTGTAGCCCATGAATAATGGTACAGATGAATCTCACTGCCATTCTTTTGGCTTCTCATTTTTTTCTTCCTCAATAAGTTTGATTCTACAAGCTATAAATTCATAGCCATTATACAGAAATAAGATAATTTTATTATTGGATTTTTAAATGTAACAACTGTTAATAACCATGTTAGACTTTAATCATTTCTTTAAAAGTAGTAAATAAACAAACACGTTTCAGTTATCTGGATTTTTTGTTTTTGTTTGTTTTAATCCAAAGTTTGGCATTTAGCAAGATACTGTTTTCCTCTTTGGGAAATCTTAACATCTGTGGGTTTGCTTTTCAGCCATAGTATTGATTACATGTTAAGTCTTACCTCTCTAAGTCTTTAAGCTTTACGTGTACTGACTTTGTTCTTATATTTTATTTCACGGGAAATATAAACAATTCAGCGTGTAAATAAATACTGGAAGAAGCAGAGCTGAATTGCAGGCACTAGTAGTCACAGCAGTGTCATTAGTGCTGCGTCAGAAGAAACCTCACCAGGGCCCTCCAGCATCCTGGCTTGTTTTGCTAGTCACCGTGGTTGTTAGTTCAGACGCAACCTTCGTGAGGCTGACTGATCGTGATGGCAGGTGGAAGGGACCCAGCTGCTCCCCACTCTAACCTCTAGCATAAGGAAGCTCGCTGAAGAATAAACGGGTTAAGCATGCTTTAATGTACATTTCTATTCTCACAACATTTTGATTATTTTTCTGCCTTGATGAAAACAGTAATCCTATAAAACATT